TTCTCATTAATGATCAATGAGTCGTCTTAATTGAGCTATTAGACATGATCCTAAAATCTACATAAATAATTTGGATCGTTATGGTATTCCTTGTTACAACATGTTCACTTCTCATTAATGATCAAACTTTCTATTCCCTCACAAAGTTTCTTCTATATAAATGAATTCCTCAATCTCATGTTATAACTCTAATACGAAAATAAAAAGTAAAATTCTCATTTTACAAAAAAAAAAANACATAAAATTACCAATGTGTCATCTTAATTTAACTATTAGTGATGATCCTAGAATCTACATAAATAATTTGGAACTTTATGGTATTCCTTTTTACAACATGTTCACTTCTCATTAAGGATCAAACTTTCTATTCCAACACAAAGTTTCTTCTATATAAATAAATTCGTGATAACTCTAATATGAAAATAGAAAGGTAAAATTCTCATTTTAGAAAAAAAAAAAAAAAACAAAAACTCATGTCCGATGCAACTCGATTCTTAATAAAATCATTTTCATATGGACACACACATAGATTTTTGTGACTAAAGGACTCGAGTCTTTCATGTCACAACAAGCCAAATTAATGCTTGTGCCTTTGTTATAATTTTAGGTGAGTTTAAGATGAGGTCGAACTCAGTTTTTTTTTCTATAGAGTTTGAACAAAGGTACACCTCTCTCTCGCATAGATTTTCAATAGTTGTTTACACATTTAGTTTAATTTTAAATAATTTAGTTTCCAATGTTATTTATATTGACTTAATTAGAAGCTTATAAAATGGTATGTTAAAATGGAGTGAACTCCTCATTCATCAAAAACATGGTATGTCAATAAATATCATTATAATTTGAAGTGAAACGTTTATTATAATTAAATTCTCACTACTACTCTTACTCATTGTCTACATATTTTGTGGGACCGACTACTTATTTTCATTTAATTCTATTATAATTCCCCCAAACGAACATCCTTTCGTATGCTAAACTGGACTTGATTAGAATAAAGTAAACAATTGTGAAAAATTTGTCGTTATATACTGAACAGATAAGAATATGAGAAAAAATGTAAAATAATTTGTCAGCTTTCGTCATGCGTAACGCACCACCGGCTAGTCTCTGTAACTTCCCAACCCATGCGGGCCCCACACCCAAGAAAACAGTACGGGAGTGTTCGATTGTACTTAAAATCAAATTAAAATTGAAAATATTGGGTTTCACNCGTCATGCGTAACGCACCACCGGCTAGTCTCTGTAACTTCCCAACCCATGCGTGCCCCACAACCAAGAAAATAGTAAGGGAATGTTCGATTTTGCTTACAATTCAATTAAAATTGAAAATATTGGGTCTCACTCGTCTAATAAAAGTTAATAATAACGGCTAGTTTTTCCATTTTATTCCGATTTTAATCTCTATCGAACACGCCCTAAATAATTAACCTTTTCCAGGTGGATGGATTGTGTGAGAACAGTTCCTGGTATTGTAGTCTGAAGACAGTCTTCAGAGTTGATGCAAGTTCAGAAAAACCTGCAGGATAGAAGAACTTATATTATCAAGTTACTCATTACTTATTTTTTGTTCATTACCTATTGGATTTCGTCATGCGTAATGCACCACCGACCAGTCTCTGTAACTTCCCAGCCCATGCGGGCCCCACAACCAAGAA